GACCAAGTCCCAATCAGCGATGGCATAATGCGTCTCATAAATATCGTCGCCAAGACACTGCAAGGTAAGACTGTTTGATCGTTTTTGAAAAGGTACTTGTCCTATAAATCGTTTTACAATTCAAGCTCAAGCCCACGTTTGCTGTGAATCTGAACAACCAACAGATATAGCCACTTGGGAAGATGTCAGTGATGAGGAGTCGGACGAATCGCCTCGGGGCCTGATTCGGCCGGAAAGTCTTACCGTCACTACTATTCAAGTAATTCTCTAAAATACAGTTTTGGAACCTTTTTCTCTTATCAAATTAAGTCGCTAGAATTTAGGAACACGAGGGTGAGGTAACACTGCATCCCACCATCGTAGAGCCACGTCCTATGCGCAAGCGTAGTGAGGCCGTAAGACGTAAAGAACCTCGCAAGCAACAGAAGCCGAGTGTACCGTAAGAATAGAAATAATAGTAGTTCGAAATTTATTTTTGAAATTTTGGTCTTTTTGGATTTCCAAACAGCATTTTAAGTGTGGAACTCCGCTGTGATCACTGCAACGAGTGCTTGACATCCTTCGATGAAGAGACTATCTCTCTTTGTCTCATCGCTGTGGAGACATTCCTACATCGGGAGCCTGTAATGGCTGCACCCATCCTCTTTTCTTTACTGCACACTGTGACTCGGTAATTTGAAAGGCATCGAATATCACAATGTTATTGGAAAAACATTTGTTTCTAAAGCCTAATTGACCATCCCATCTACCCGTGGCATGACACGGAAATGTTCGTGCCAGGAAACTGCCGCAGTGTCGCTAAACAGATGCTGAGAGTTACTCTCCATCAGGTAGCTTAATCTCACTGAAGCGGTTTAACCCATAGTAATCCAAAGTTTTCCTAGCTGTCCTCATCTGGCATATGCCTCCAATTATTTGACACTCCAATATCTCGAACCGACTCTTTTTGGAAAGTTGTGTCGCTCTCGTTGGCTGACTTCCAGGAGCTCTCTCCTGTCTACTTCATACAACTGCTCTTCGAAGTTTGTTCATTATCATAAGAATTTTTATTTGCCAAAGTAGAAATAGCGGGGTCCTTTTAGGATCTTGCCGAAAATTGGCTACCTCAGCTCACTACCACCATGAGGAACTTGGCTGCGTATGTTGTTGAAGTGCCATACGACGCTTACATTAATCACTGGAGCACAGCTATTGCTCATATGGAGACGTTTTTCAGGAGGTACCATGCTCAGGTGGGTGAAGCAATTTTTTT